AAAAGCAAGAAGTATTTGTACAAGTGGTGCACAGGCCTCCTAACCAATCAAATGGTAGGTGGAACATTAAATAGTGATGGCTTGTTTGAAAGACACTGCAATATTAATAGGAGATTTTATATAACATATAGATCGGCAAAATCAGATGAGCAAAAGTAGCCTAGATAAGGACTTCACAGAATATTTTTGGGATAGTTTATTTACATCAACACGTTCAGAAGCTGACCAGAGAGCAGGTTATACTGGACCAAATATTGTGCAATGCAATAGGATTAATTAATGATCTTGCAGTGAAGATCAAGATGGTGGCAGACTAGGATGCTACAACTGGAGCTTCTCTGCTCCTTCTGTTCCTTTCCCTTCTTCTCCCACTTTGGTCCAGGCCCAGTCTCCCGGTGGTTTGTGGCGACGTTCAGCCTGGTCTCTCGGTGGGTCTCGGCCTCGTGTCTCAGTGGCTCGTGGTGGGTCCTGTCTCTGGCCCTGGCCCTGGCCTCTTGGCTTATGATGGCTCTTGTTCTGGTCACTGGGTGTCTCCTAGCAGCTCCCAGCCCTGGTGTCTTGGCAGCTCGCAACCTGGTCTCTCAGTGGTATGTTAGTCAGTCTCTTGGTGACTCATGGCGGTATCTCAATATGCCTGGGCATGTTTCTGACACAGTGGGGGAGAATGGCAGGACGTTGGTTTCAGCAGCGGCGACAGTATCTGCAGCAGCTGCTTTGGGGATAGACAGCTGAGGCCTTCTGGCGAGTGAGATACGCAGAGAACTCATCAAAGACTGTTGAACTTTTAGCTTATTCATTTATTTTCCTGGTTTAAACTATAAAAGACTTTAATGTAAACTATAACCTATTTCTTTATTTTCTACTATTCTATGAAATAATGCTTAACTTTTTCTCTAGAGCATCAGAGGCTAAGGGGTGTCCTTACAGAAGTTTGTAAAATCATGAGTGGCATGAATAACATGAATAGACAAGGTCTTTTCCTTGGGGTGTGGGAGTCCAAAACTAGAGGGCATAGGTTTAAGGTGAGAGGGGAAAGATTTAAAAGGGACCTAAAGGACAACTTTTTCATGCAGAGGGTGGAGCGTGTATGGAATGAGCTGCCAGAGGAAGTGGTGGAGGCTGGTACAAATACAACATTTAAAAGGCATCTGGCTGGGTATAAGAATAAGAAGGGTTTAGAAGGATATGGGCCAAATGCTGGTGAATGGGACTAGATTAATTTAGGATATCTGGTCAGCATGGACGAGTTGGACTGAAGGGTCTGTTTCCGTGCCGTACATCTCTATGACTATAACTTGTTTCTCTTGTTGCTTTGTACCAAAGGCTTTCTTTTAGTACCTCAGTACTTTGGTACCTAAGATGGTGCCATGTGTGGCAAAATTATACACTTTTCAATGTACTCCTGTACTTCTGTACTTGAGTACACTTGACAATAAAATCTAAAATGTTAGGGAGTGACTTAATGGCAGTGTGATGATTCTAAATATTTGAAACGTGGATATTGTCCTTTTTTTTTTTGAAGAAAGGTCGAGACAGAGGTGCAGAGTTGATAAAGTAAACCGCTTGTGAGGCCTTGGGGATTTTTTATTTAAAATGTTGGAAAATTAGAAGCAGCCTGAATGGATGGAGTCAAGCTGTCACAGAACCAGGATTTTTAGTTTTAGCTTTCTGCAGTTGCTGGGGTCCGCTGGATATGGAATCTCTTATTCTTCTCTCTGTTACAGCTAAAAGCTGGTGTTCTCTTCCTGCTGCTGGAATTGTACGTGAGACAATCTATTTTACTGAATCTGCCTTTACCAAGGTTGTGTTTATGGTATATTGCTATATTGGAGTAGTTAATATATAAATTATTATCAGCACTTCAATAGACTTGCAGTTAAGTCAGTTCCTTTCTTTAATTTTTACTTTGTCTGTATTTTAACTGTTGTGTAAAAATAGTGCGTTTTGCTTAAAGTCATAGTTTTACCAATGAAATTACTTTTGGAATGCAAAGCCTTACATTTACCTTTAAAATCAGAAAAAGTGAGGATCTAGACTATCCTCTCAATATATTTTGAGGGGTTTTGGCCTGGTGCATAACAGCAGCAACTGTAGTCTGATCAAAATTTTACGTTCAGTTTATCGGAGAGAAGAGTGAGTCTGAAATTTCTTAAAAATTTATATAGTGGTAATTATAAAAGTGTGAAACCAGAACTGAGCGAAGTGATTTGGCAAATTTAGTTACAGGACAGCTCAAGATAGGTATAAAGTCAGAAGAGACATGACACCAGGCTTTAGTCCAACAGATTTATTTAAAATCACAAGCTTTCAGAGCTCCTTCATCAGTTGAAGCAAAACAGGTATTCCAGCAGACATTCAAGAGGATAGTTTGAATGTCGAAAATGGACACATTCCCAAAGAGTACAAAAAATTCCAAGGATGGACCGCAATCAGCTTTTAAATAAAAATGCAGAAGGTAGTGCCAACATATACAAAGACGGGTAGTAGATCAAAAGATTGGACAGAATATAAAAGAAAGCAAAGAATGACCAAAAACTAAAAACAAATTAAAACATGATAGAGGATTCTATAAATATTTTTCAAAAGAAGTTAACAAAGTGAGTATTGCTGCTGTAGCAAGTCTCCAGAGAATTAATGGATAAAAGGGGATAGCAGATGAATTGAACAGTGTTTTGCATTAGTTTTCAACACAGAGGACATATGGAACAGCACAGGAGTGCCAAATCAGGAAACTGACGATGGGAAGGAATTCAGGAAAATCACAATTGCCAGAGAAGTGGTACTGGGTACATTATTGGAGCTGCAGACTGGGAAATGCCTGGGTCCATGATGGACTTAATCTTGAAGTTTTAAAAGAGAAGCTTAGTAAGATGATTGATGCATTGGTTTTAATTTTCCAAAACACCCTGTTGATTTGGAGGTGGTCTCTTAGATCTCAAGATAGCGAATGTAACTCATCTGTTCAAAAAGGGGAGAAACGGAAAGCGGGAAACTAAAGGGTAGTTAGCTGCACATCTCTCACAGGGAAAACGTGCAAAGCTGCAATGGAAGTTATTGTAGACACAATCAGAGTCAACATCATTTTGTGAAAGGGAAATGACTTTTGACCAATCTATTTAAGTTTTCTTGAGGTAACCCAAATTATAGATAAATGGAAACCGTATATACTCTATTTAGATTTGCAAAAGATATTTAATAAGGTGCCATATCAATGGTTTTTATGGAAAGTAAAAGTAGTCAGTGTAGGCAGTAGCATACTTGCATGGACAAATGATTGACTGGGTAACAGAAAGCAGACAGTGTGTATATATGGATCTTTTTCACATGGGCAGCATCTTACAAATGGTGTGCAACAGAGTTTGGTGCTGGGATCTCCACTATTTACACTGTCCATAAATAATTTGGATGAAGGGATGGACACAAAGTTAGATAGGAAAGAAAATTGTGAAGCAGACATATGAATGCTGCAGAAGAATATAGATGTGTTAATGAGTGAACAAAGATGTAGCAATGCAGTATAGTGTGGGTATGTGAAACTGCCCATTTTATCCAAACTAAAAAGATATAGGCTATCTAAATGACATGTGGTACAGAGGGATCTGTGTGTATTAATGTTTGAATCACAAAAGGTTCATATGCAGGTAAAGCCAAGTAATCGGGAAAGAAGTGTCCCGACCCGAAATGTCAACTTTCCTGCTCCCTGGCCTGCTGTGTTCCTCCAGCTCCACACTGTGTTGTCTCTGACTTCATCATTGGCAGTTCTTACTATCCCATAGAATGTTGTTGTTTATCATGAGGGGAATTGAATACCAAAGTAATAAGGTTACACATTAGCTATACAGGGAACTTAGAAAACCACATCTGCCGTACTATACACAATACTGTTTGTCTTTTTTAAAGAAGGATGTAAATGTGTTGAAGGCAGTTCTGTGAAGGTTTACCGGACTAACATCTAGAACGGGGGTTTGGCTTGTGAGGAAAAGTTGGACAAGCTAGATTTTGTTTTTAAGGCAGATATAGATACAGTAAAGCCTCTGTATCCATGGGATCATGACTTGCAAATTCCCCTATCTACGCCGAAAAATAAATAGCAGCAAAATTCCAACATCCATGGCAAAACTCGCATATCCATGGTTTTTAAGCTATTTTTAACCTGTAATTTTAATGGGCTCTGCACTCGCAAATTTCATCGTTCGCAGGGGTTCTCGGAAATGTAACACTCACGGATATGGAGGAATGTCTGGAGATTCTTGGTAAGCAAGGGAATGAAAGACTTTATAGGATGGATGGGAATGTAGATATGAGGTTAATCAGATCGGATTATTGAATGGCGGAGCAGACTTGAGGGACTGAACTACCTATTCCACCTTGTATATTTGTATGTTTGCATCCTGGTTAAGCTATAATGAGTAGGAACGCACACTGGTCTGGCAGTATCTGTGGAGAGAGAAACAGTTAATGTTTGAAGTCCAGTACGATGACTCTTCAGAACAAAAGTCATACTGGACTTAGTCATAGAGATGTACAGGAAACAGAACCTTCGGTTCAACTTGTCCATGCCGACCAGATATTCTGCATTAATCTAGTCCCATTTGCCAGCATTTGGCCCATATCCCTCTAAACCCTTCCTATTCTGTTTCCACTAATGCTGCCAGACCTGCTGAGTTTATCTAGTATTCTCTGTGCTTGTTTCAGATTTCCAGCGTCCACAATATGTTACTTTTATTTCAGTAACAGATAGGCCTGCTCGTAAAGGGAAGAATTGAGTCCCAGTGTCCCCATTTTTAAAGAATTTAGTGCCTTCCTGCTGTTGTTGGAGTGGGAGATGAAACCCTTCCCCTTTTACCGTCACCAATGTGTTTCTTTTAACCAAATGTTTGGCCTTTTCTCCAGAAGGCACGAAATCTTAATAGTGTAAATCCTGTACTTGTGTTCTTTCTCCTCTCTCTTCCAATGAATGCATTGCTTTGTAATGCTAGCTGTGTCTCCTTTATCTACAGATGAATATACTGGTCGATACTGGGAGTAGTAACTTTGCAGTGGCTGGTGCAGCAAACAGCAATATAAAGACCTATTTTAAACCAAAATTGTAAGTATTCAGAGATCATAAGGGGTGTACTACATTCCTGTATGGAAGGGAGGGGAGTTTAGACTTAGTAGGATATATTGTTGCTATTTTACAAAGTCAGGTGGAAGATCTCAATGTGCCAATCAATCTATTTTCACATAAGTCACATTGTGGGGTTGTCTGATGTGGCTGAGGTTGGATTGATTGAAATGGGCTGAACAGGTTTGCAATAATATAGACCTTTTGAAAGATTCAAGACGTCCCCAGAGGACTTCATATACACATTCCAAGTTAATTTTTTTTGTTACAGACAGGAATGTGAGAGAGAAAGAGAGAACTGAGACCCCTGTCCATGTTTCCTTCCTTTACTATCTATGATCATCGCGGTTTTTGAAAAGGAAGAGGCTTCTTAATCCCTGAGTAAGCGAATAATAATTACCAGCAGCAAGCGTTTTGTGGGTTTAAATATAAAGGAATGTTTATTAATGCATTTACTCTGAAAATTTAATGCTACTGCCCTTCCTTCTTCCTCACACTCGCTCAAAATACAGTTGAAGAGCACGGTGCACACTTCACGTTATAGACAGAATTATTTATATTTCACATGATTGTTTTACCTCTGAAAACACATGGTGCAAGCCTGATGAAGAAAATGTTTCAGAATGCTCAAGTATCGAAACACGAACTGAAAAGCCCAGTCCATATATTAGGATCATCAGAGTTTTCTAAGAGTTAGACCCTCTGCAAGTTACAAAGTGAATCCACAGAACAGTTCTGAGGAAGGGTCACCGGACCCGAAACGTTAACTCTGTTTTCTCCTTTACAGATGCTGCCAGACCTGCTGAGCTTTTCCAGCAACTTTGTTTTTGTCCTTGAATCAATTGAACCTGCCTTCACCACATTTCCAGGCAGTCAATTCCATTCCCTAACTATTCAGGGTAAAAAAAGTTTTTCCTTGATTCTTTACAGATCACTGTAAATTTATGAGCCTGCTGACCTTTTCTGAGTGGAAACCGATGCCTCCTATCTACCCTATTGAGCCCACTCCTGATTTTCAAAACCTTTCCTGAGAGTGCTGTGGGTATGTGTACATCATGTGAGCTGCAGCCATTCAAGGAGACAGATCACTATAACTGCCTTTTGAGGGCAATATTAAAATTGAGACCATCGTGGCCACCTTACCTAGTGGTTTCTTGCAGCTCTAAAAATGGTACTGACCTTAAATGGATTAGCTCCAGCCTGATTATCGTTTGCAAACATTTACCTTGGGAGTTTGAGATGTCATCTTTGTTTCAGAATGACCCTTTCAAGTTTGGAAGTGCCTTTTGTGGATGGCTACAAGAGATAGGTGGTGACACCACCAGTCTGGAAAGTTCTGCCTTGTCTTTTGAGACAGTGTAGCTGTTTTGGGATATACAAACTAATAGTCGGGTGACTCTCAGCTTTTTTTTTTGCAGCCTGTCATTATTTATTTTAAAAAGAAATCGGTACAAGAAATTCTGGAACGGAGTTATTTTGATTGTTATATGTGTTTATGAATTATGTTGAAAAACACAAATGCACAGCTAGTTCCCACAAACAACAGGATAAATGACTACAACAACAAAGACAAAGTTGCTGGAAAAGCTCAGCAGGTCTGGCAGCATCTGTGAAGGAGAAAACAGAATTAACATTTCGGGTCCGGTGACCCTTCCTCAGAACTGATGGTGGCTGGGAAAACGTCAGTTTATATGCAGAAAATAGGGAGGTGGGTGGGGTAGGGAGTAAACGATAGGATAGAACCCAAAGAGAGAGAAAGACAGTTGGACAGACAAAGGAGTTGCTAACGATCAGGCTGGGAGGGTGAATAGTTGTTAATGGGGACTGTTAGTGACTAACAACAGGGGGTATGTAGTGGCAGGCTATGTGGTAACAAGGTCTGGTGTGTTGGGTAAGGGGGCTGGGACATGGGAGAGTTTAGGCCCTAAAATTATTGAACTCAATATTGAGTCCAGAGGGCTGTAGGGTTCCCAAGCGGAAAATGAGGTGTTGAGCTTCACTGGAACAGCTCTGCGAGCCAACCAACTTCAACAACCTCAACACCTGTTACCCGAGCTACAAATCTACTCCTAATATTAACTCTCTTTTTCTCTCTACAGGTGCTGTCAGAACTTCTGTGTTTCTCCAGCACTTTGTGTTTTTGTTTTAGATTTTCCATATCCATAATTCTTTGTTTTTGTATTGTGCCAACGCTAATCGTTCAACTTGGGCGTGCTTATGTACCATGTATAAAGATGACAGTTTCTGCCTCTATCCACTTAAAGGAACTGGCATCCAGCAGTAGATATGGAACCATATATTTTGGAGGAAGGAGGGAAAGGCTTTACACTGCATTCAGAGGATAGAAAAATATTAATCTCCAAGTTTCGTCCTTTTAAGGTTGTGTTAAATGGAGAGAAGGCACCAAACTTTACCTTTCTGGACTTCAGATGTCCCAAAGTTTTTCACGGCTAGTTGGGTCCTTGTTGGAAGGTTCTCACTATTGTAACAAGGTGAAACCGAGCAAAAAATTTGCACACAGCAAGTTCCCACAAACTGCATTGAGACAAATAGAGTCATAGAGATGTACAGCATGGAAACGGACCATTTGGCCCAACTTGTCCATGCCGACCAGATATCCTAAATAAATCTATTACCATTTGCCAGCATTTGGCCCACATCCCTCGAAACCCTTCCTGTTCGTGTAACCATTCAGATGCCTTTTAAATGTTGTAATTGTACCAGCATCCTCCACTTCCTCTGGCAGCTCATTCCATACATGCACCACCCTCTGTGTGAAAAACGCACCCCTTAGGTCCCTTTTTAAATCTTTCCCCTCTCACCTTAAACCTATGCCCTCTAGTTTTGGTCTTCCTCATCCCAGGGAAAAGACCTTATCTATTCACCCTATCCATGCCCTTCATGATGTTTATAAACTTGTGTAAGGTCACCCCTCAGTCTCTGACACTCCACGGAAAATTGCCCCAGCCTATTCAGCCTTTCCCTATAGCTCAAACTCTCCAATCCTGGCAACATCCTTGTAAATCTGTTCTGAATCCTTTCAAATTTCACAGCATCCTTCCTATAGCAGGGAGACTAAAATTGCACGCAGCGTTCCAAGAGTAGTCTAACCAATGTCCTGTACAGCTGCAACATGACCTCCCAACTCCTACACTCAATCACTGATCTATAAATGCATGCACACCAAACAGCTGCTTCACTATCCTATCTACCTGCAACTCCACTTTCAAGGAACTATGAACCTGCCCTCCAAGGTCTCTTTGTTTACCAACATTCACCAGGATCTTACCATTAAGTATCTCAGTCCTGCCCTGATCTGCCTTTCCAAAATGCAGCACTTCACATTTATCTAAATTAAACCCAATCTGCCACCCTCGGCCCATTGGCCCATCTGCTCAAGATCCCATTATTCTCTGAGATAACCTTCTTTGCTGTCCACTACATCTTCAATTTTGGTGTCATCTGCAAACTTACTAACCATACCTCCTCTGTTCACATCCAATTCTTTCATACAAATGACAGAAAACAGTGGACCCAGCACCAATCCTTGTGGCACACTGCTGGCCACAGGCCTCCAGTCTAAAAAGCAACCCTCCATCACCACCTTCGAGCCAGTTCGGTATCCACATGGCTAGTTCTCCCTGTATTCCATGTGATCTAATCTTGCCAACCAGGCTACCATGAGGAACCTAGTTGAGTGCCACATCCACTGCTTTGCCTTCATCATCCTCTTCATTACTACTTCAAAAAAACTCATTTAAGTTAGTGAGACATGATTTCCAATGCATTACACCATGTTGACTATCTCTAATCAGTCCTTGCCTTTCCAAAAACATGTCCCTCAGGATTCCCTCCAACAAATTACCCTCCACTGATTTTAGGCTCATCGTCTGTAGTTCCCTGGCTTTTCCTTACCATCTTTCTTAAATAGTGGCACCACATTAGCCAACTTCCAGTCTTAAGGCACATCACCTATATCTCAGCAAGCGGCTCAGCAATCAATTCCCTAGCTTCCCACAGAGATCTAGGGTACACCTGATCAGGTCCCAGGAATTTTATGCGTTTGGCCAGCTAATCTGTTCTTGTCGTTGAGCCCAGCGCACTAGGGGAACATTCTTTCCATTGTTTGAAAGGTTCTGAAAGATCCTTGCACCCCTATGAAAGAGAGGATAGCGCTTAGGTTTGGCATCCCTTTTTGGAACAGCACCGCTGACAGTCTAGCTATCCCTCAATGCTGCACTGGAACACTGAGGACAGCAAGCTATTGAGCCTGCTCTGCTATTCAATCATTTCATCAATAGCTTTAATCCTCTGTGGTTATACACCTGTATGGCCTGGAGACTGATGCTGAAAATTACATCAAATTTTACAGCAGAAGCTACTTGGCTGAACTGGTCTGGCCTGTTCATCCTGTACAAGAGCCTCTTTTCACCTCTCTGCCCCAAATTCTTCCAATATTTCTTTCCATTTTATCTTACTCTACTTCCTTCTTAATAATCCATCAACAAAAGGAACCAGGACAAAAGAATTTCATTTGACCTGCACAGCCAGCAATCTTGACATTAACTGCTCAAATGTGAATGTAATTCCTACTAAGAACTTCCCATGTGCCAGGTGCAACTGTGCAGTCCCTTTTCAAAGACTTAAACTGATCTTTTTTTAAACTTATTGCTCCTACTTTGTGCGCTTGTGTCTGTTATAGTTTCTTCTCTCATTTGGAATCACAGATCTGTACAGCATGCTAGTGTATGGGATATTGCACTGTGCAGAGTTGGTACCAACCTGGCTCGGAAGTGAAGAGTTACGATTGAACGATTAGGCTTGAGGAAGTAGAAAGTTGTGTTTATTCTGTAGTCCACAGAAATTCCCGTGCAACATTCTGTGGCTACCAGCCAACCACTTGTACTGTCAACTCATTGTGGAACCAGGAAGTGTAGTGATTATGGAGTGTGTTTTGAGTGACAGAGACCTGATGACGTATGACTGAACAGTGGTTTGGAGAGGAAATTTTTGTTTTAATGAGTGACTGGTAGCATTATCCAGTCAACATTTTCCTAGCTTGAAAGGGATGTTAGCATCCATTTTTAGTGGTGGGACATTTATCAGCTTGGATTAAGAGTGGTTTACGGACACACACCCAATGTAACCTGCCTGCCTGCCAACCAATCCCTCCAAAGCACTTGGGGCAAGAATACTCATCCAGGAACTGTTTGTTACACCCGGACTGTCTGGGATACTTGTACGGAAGCTCATTTCCTGGTCTGGTGCATCACAGCATGTTGCAGATTGAAATATTTCAACCTAGTGCATTCAATTATCTTAATCATGTACCTTTTTTTAAAAAAAAAAGACTTATTCAGCAGCTAATGATTAACACAAATTTCTAAACATTTACTGTTACCTCCAAACTGTTTGGAAAATGAGGCAATGGGTGAATGAAAAAGAGATGAGATTTAGATGCCACGATGATGGATCAGAACCCTGTATTGCTTATGGACATTTTGAATACTTAATTCCAACTTGCGGTCAGTGAGTATGTGTTATTAGCCTGCTAGTGTATGGGCTATTGATCTGTGCAGGTCGCAGTTTGAGAACAGTGATCAAACATTTTGCACTAAAGAAAGGGAAGGCACTCTGTCATCGTGCTGTGAGCCATCCACTGACAAAAAGGAACCAGGGCAAAAGAATTTCATTGACCTGCAAAGCCAAGAATCTTGACACTAACTGCTCAAATGCGAATGTAATTCCTTCTAATAACTTCCTACGTGCCAGGTGTAACTGTACAGAATCTTTACAAAGATTTAAACTGATCATGTTTTTTAACTTCTTGTTCCTAAGTTATGTGCTCGTGTCCATTATAGTTTCTTCTCCCATTTAGAATCATAGAGATGTACAGCATGGAAACAGACCCTTCAGTCCAACTTGCCCATGCCGACCAGATATCCTAAATTAATCTAGTTATTTGTCAGCATTTGGCCCACATCCCTCTAAACCCTTCCTATTCGTGTACCCATTCAGATGCCTTTTAAATGTTGTAATTTTACCAACCTCCACCAATTCCTTTGGCAGCTCATTACATACACGCGCCACCCTCTACATGAAAAATTTGTCCCTTAGGTCCCTTTTAAAACTTTCCCCTCTCACCTTAAACCTCTAGTTTTTGACTCCCCTACCCTGGGGAAAAGACCGTGGCTATTCATCCTATTCGTACCCCTCATGATTTTATAAACTTGTATAAGGTCACCCCTCAGCCTCCGACACTCCAGGGAAAATAGCCCCACCTATTCAGCCTCTCCCTATAGCTCAAACCCTCCAACTCTGGCAACATCCTCGTAAGTCTTTTATGAACCCTTTCAAGTTTCATAAAGTCCTTCCTCTAGCAGGGAGACCAGAATTAAACACAGTATTCCAAAAATGGCCTAACCAATGTTCTGTACAGCTGCAACATGACCTCCCAACTCCTATACTCAGTGCGCTGACCAATAAAGGTAAGTGTGTCAAACACCATTCAGTAACTGATAAACTCACCCTCTCCGTAACTTAAAAGTCTGGTTAAATTGGCTCCTTTTAAAATATGAAATCACTTGACTCGGATGACTACAAATTTAAATTATTTTTAAATTATCTTTGTTTCAACCAACTGAAGTGGGTGTTAGGTGAATGAAGAAGGGGAGCCAGTTTATCCCCTTCGCCTGAGATTTAGCGATTTGGGATAATCTGTCTGGAACTGTACTGAATTGAAGAATTCCAACATTTAAAAGGCATCTGGATGGATACAAAATGAATAGGACGGATTTGGAGGAATACAGGCCAAATGCTGGCAAATGGGACTAGAATAATTTAGGATATCTGTTCAGCCTGGAAGAGTTGGATACAACTCTATGACTCTCTGACTATAATTAGTCACCTGAGGACTGGTAATAACAGTAGGTTTGGTGAGTTCATTAAGGTATGAGGATGGAATTGCTCGATGGGCTGTGGTGGGTAGCAGAAATGTAAAATTTATAAGTGTAAATGGGAAAGGCAAGAAGAGAGTGGGAAGCAACAAGCAGTTTGTTGACATGAATGGGGATTGAATAATGATGCTGTTGTGTGGCCAGTGCTAGTAGCAGGAACTTGGAGTGAGGAGAGTAGGTGCAGAGTGCTATAATAGGAGTTGAAGGATCAGAGTGATGTCTGCTGCAGAGACTGTACAAGAATACTGATCAACAGCGGAGGGATTTTGAAGAAGCACTCATTAGCCGTGCACTGCCTGCTTACGAAGCACACAGAAGGAAATGGAGAGAGCTCTTGTGGTGTCCCTACCTACTGCGTAACAGAGAAATGGAATAGGAGAAGCTCTGATTGAAGAGTCACCGGACTCGAAACATTAACACTGCTTTCTTCCCACACATACTGCCAGACTTGCTGAGTTTCTGCAGCAATTCCTGATTTTGTTTCGGATTTCCAGAATCCACAGATTTTAGGTTTATCTTAATGGAATAGAAGCTTCTTGCTGATGTACTTTGAGTTTATATATGGAGACTCATGCAGCATCAGTACTGGTGCACACTGAATGTGTCGTAAATTTGCTGGACTGAGCAAACTTGAAAACCTCAATGTTAACTTAGATTTGTGTGAGAATGTAAAGGCTAGGGCCAGAGGTAGCAAGAACTAGTCACTTTCGCACTCTTGTAAAGTCGGGGTCATTTTTCACTCCTGGACTTTGTCAACGTTTATCTGGGCTGGATTGCACTCAACCCTAGCACAAATGACGACTAGACTAGGAAACAGGAGCCGGTTTTGTGCACGCTGTTGGGAAACTGTGCATTAAGGTGTTAGGCACCCAATCTGCAAGATGCCTTGTAACATCTTTCAAACCTGTGACCCCCAGCACAGGGACACACTACACATCCTGTCATGCGCTAATCTGAATTAAATATATGTCTCCACCTCATCGCTCTTGCTCGGTCAAAATCCAATGTAGCAGGACTGTGACAGCAACTTTACCGCAGGAATTGTAGTTTAAGGAGCTTTTAATATTTTTCTCATCCTGATTGATTTTATTGTCACGCATACCCAAGTACAGTGAAAAGCTTTGTTTACGAGCAGTACAGGCAGATCATAGGGTGGCGGGAGAAAAAAAAGCTAGACAGAGACATACAAGTTACATTGCACAGGGCCTGAGCAAGGCAAGATCAAAATTAGCAAGACCAGCATTCTTTGGAGTTAGAGAATCCATTCCTCAGTCTAATAACAGCCCGAAAGAAACTGTTCTTGAACCTGCTGGTGCGTGTGTTCAAGCTTCTGTATTTTCTGCCTGACAGAAGACATTGGAGGAAAGCATTGCTGGGGTGTGATGGGTCTTTGATGATGTTGGCAGTCTTTCTGCAGCAACAGGCCATGTAAATAGAGTCCATGGATGGGAGGTTGGCTTCCGTGATGGTCTGGGCTATAGCTTCTTATGGTCCTGGGCAGAGCAGTTGCCAAACCAGGCCGTTGTGCACCCAGACAGTACACTTTTAATGGTGCATCAGAGAAGTTAGTGAGGGACCTTATGGACATGCCAAATTTCCTGAGCTGCCTGAGGAAGAAGAGGCATTGTTGTGCCTTCTTAACTGTCGCATTTACGTGGGAAGCCCAGGTCAGGTTGTCTGTTATCGTCATTCCAAGGAACTTAACACTGTCAACCCTCTCAACCTCAGTACCGTTAATGTAGATGGGGGTGTGTTCTCCTCCTTTCTTTCTGAAGTCAATGATCAGTTCTTTAGTTTTGCTAATGTTAACGAGAGACAGATTGTTTTCATTGCACCACGTCACCAAACCCGCTATCTCCCATCTGTGTTCTTTGATAAGTTTGTTGTTTGATAACGTCCCTACCATGGTGGTGTCGGCAGAAAACTTGTAGAAGGCGTTCGTTCGGAATTTTTCAACACAGTCATGGGTGTACAGTTAGGGGGCTGAGAACGCATCCTTGGGGGTGCTCCAGTGTTGAGGTGCTGTTGTCTATCTTTATTGATTGCAGTCTGTGGGTCACAAAACTGCGGATCCAGTTGCAGAGGATGGAGCTGAGACCTGAGTTTTTAGATGATTATAGAGGGGATAATGTCGATACAGTGTGGAGCTGGAGGAACATAGCAGGTCAGGCAGCATTAGAGCAGTAGGAGAGTCATGTTTTGGGCCTAGACCCTTGGAGGGGATAATGGTGTTAAAAGCAGAGTTGTACTCTATGAGCAGGAGTCTGACATAGGTGTCCTTGTTGTTCAGATGTTCTTGGGATGACTCTAGGGCTAGGCCAATAGTGTCCACTGTGGACCTGTTATGTCGGAAGGCAAATTATAGGGAATTGAGGCAGGTTGGGAGACTGGAGTTGGTGTGGGCCTGACTAGCCTCTCGAAGCACTTCATGATTATTGAAGTCAGAGCCACTGGGCGGTAGTCATTAAGGCACGTTGCATGTGTTTTCTTAGGTACTGGGATGATGGTGGTCTTCTTGAAGCAGGTGGGGACTTCAGCTTGTAGGAAGGAGAGGTTGACGATGTTGGTGAATACCTCCACCAGTTGGTCCACACAGGATCTGAGCACTCGACTGGGTCTCCATCTAAGCCAGTCACTCTCCTTGGGTTGACTCCCAGGAGAACTGATCTGACGTCTGCAGCAGTGACAGAGGGAACAGGTGTGTCTGGGGCTATTGGGGCAGGTAACACCGCACCGCTGGCATTCTGCTCGAACTGAGCACAGAAAACATTGGCTGCATCAGAGAGGGATGTGCCTTTGTCTGTTATCTTGCTGTGCTTCATTTTATAACCTGTAGTGTTGTTTAGGCCTTGCCACAGCCAGCGGGTGTCTATATGGTTGGTTTGGGCCTCCAACTTAGTCCGATACTGCCTCTTGGTATCCCTGATGGCTTTGTGAGGTCATGTCTGGATTTCCTGTATACATCTGGGTCGTCTGACCTGAATGCTGCATGCTTGGGGAGGATGTGTGTGTCGCTGGCTAGGCTAGCATTTAACTGCTCTTTGGGCAATAGGAGTCGATCACATTGCTCGTAGTCACCTGGAGTAAACCCTCTCAACCTCAGTTGAGAGTCACCTATAGGCCAGACTAAGCAAGTTTCCTTCCCTGAAGGTGATTAGCGAATCAGATGGGTTTGCAGCAACAATCACCACTGGTTACACGGTCATCATTGAAGCAGACCATGTCCAAAGGTAGTAAGATATGAACATCATCCAGGTTTGGGCTAACAGGTGGCAAGTAACATTCTCACCACACACGTGCCAGACAATGACCTTTTGCAACAAGAGAAAATCTAACTCCTGCCCCATGATGTTCAATGACCTTACCATTGCTGAATAATTCATTATCAACATCCTGGAGTTACCATTGTCCAGAGATTGAACTGGACTATCCATATAAATACAAGAGCAATCTGGAAATACTGGAACTCCCCTCCTGACTTCCTAAAGCCTGTCCACCATCTACAAGACATAAGTCAGGAATGTAATGGAATACTCCCCACTTGCCTTGACAAGTGCAGCTCCAACAACATTTGAAGCTTGATACCACCCAACATAAAGCAGCCCACTTGATTGGGACCACGTAAGCAAACATTCATCCTCCTCATCAGTCAGTGGCAATGGTGTGTACCGACCACCACTGTAGAACTATAACATGGCTCCTCAGCACCTTACAAACCCGCAACCCCTTCCATCTAGAAGGACAAGGGCGGCAGATACGTGGGAACACCACCGCCTGCAAGTTCTCCTCTGAGCTACTCACCATCCCGGCTTTGGAGTATATCACTGTTCCTTCAGTGTTGTTGGGTTAAAATTCTGAAACTCTTTCCCTTAACGGTATTGAGGGTCTATCTACAGCACATAAACTGTTACTGGTTCAAGAAGGCAGCTCACCACCACCACCTCAAGGGCAAATGGGAATGGGAAATAAATGCTGACCCAGTAGTGCAGCCCACACCCACTGAATAACCTTTCTCTCTTTTTCTTTTTAAAAAAACGTCAGATTTTTAATTGAGTTCAAACTTTACCATCTATTCTATTGGGATTCCAACCCATGTCCCCAGTGGGGACCTGAATTACGAGTCCAGTGACATTACCCTTATACCATTACCACCTCCTATCTGCAGAGACTAATGTGCAGAAAAATAAAAGCTGATCCTGTCCATAATAAAAACACAATTGTGTAAGAACAGTGGGTTCAAACTGCCCAGGAATGTGGTAGGATGTGCTAATCTTTCATTTCTCAGCCTGCCCCAAGAAGTGTTCAAATCAGTCTTGAACTCTTCGAATGTTTTACTTTTGGAATTGTACTAACTTATTTTAGTTCTGCAGTGTAACAGAATTAAAGCTGTATTTCAGCCGAAACATTAAATTAAACCATCAGTCTAAGGAGAAGGGAATTTCCTCGGAGCTGTCAGGAGTGTAAAGATTGCTGTAAATTCATTAACCAATTACTAAGACATATGACACCAAGTGTGTGGTGCACACTGCTAATACAGGTAATTTAATTTTTCATTCCACACCAGTTTTCTTTTAGGATATTTTAAAACATCCTGATGAGAGTAGAGTGGCTCAGTTTTCACTGAAAATGTATGCAGAACTCTCTTGCCATATGGTGTTTTATCGCTAAGCAACAACTGTCCATAATGAACCCCTCATCTTGGACAGTTCATTTTCGTGAACCAAAGAAATCTGTAAATCATGAATAGTTCACATGATAAATCAATACTTTGATTTAGCAGCACTCCAGGGATGAGGACAATGGCACCATAAATCATACGAGGCCCTGTGTTAGGGGCAATGTGTTTGTTAATGAGTTATGCAGTGGATGTCTTGTGCAAACGTTTCTCCCATTAAATGGGTTATGGCTCAGCCTAATAATTTAGAAATTATTTTCGTCATACTTTTAAGTTGTTCATATAACAGTATATTTGCTCTCCGATGCTGAACATTCTGTACTCAGCAAAGGTCTCAGCTTTATTTCCCCTGTATCCCCACCTTAATGAATGTCAGACAGAACTCTTCTTCTGCCGTCTTCGCCTCCGTGCCCATTTCTTTGGATAAAAGCCTTCTCTATCCCACAGACCCTTTCGCCCAGTTCCAACACTCTCCCTCCACCTGGACCACTCCCTCTGGCCTTTTATCTGCACTTGATTTGTTCATTGAGAACTGCCAACATGACATTGGTCGCCTCAATTTTTCTGCACCCCCCCCCACGCAATCCAACCTATCTCCCTTCAAACTGACTGCACGCTGTGTGCTTAAATCCAACCCTGACTTTGTTATTAAGCCTGCCGATAAGGGTGGTGCTGTTGTAGTCTGGCGTACTGACCTCTACAATGCAGAGGCTGAGTGCCAGCTCGCAGATACCTACTCCTATCTGCTCCTGGTCTGTAACCCCACCATGGCACATCAGGCCATTGGATCCACCACAGTCACTGACCTCATTTCATCTGGTAATCTCTTTCCTCCCTACACCTCATACTGCCTCCAAGCTGATAGTTCCCCCAGCCCTGCACAGTTCGCTTTTACCTCCTTCCAAAAATCCACAAGCAGGACTGTCCCAGCAGACCCATTGTTTCAGCCTGCTCCTGCCCCACAGAACTCTACTCTTCCTACCTTGACTTGGTCTTCTCTCCTCTGGTCCAGTCCCTGCCCACGTACATCCGTGATTCCTCTGATACTTTATGCCGGTTTCAAAACTTCCAGTTTGCAGGCTCCAGCCGCCGCCTCTTTACCATATACATGCAATCCCTTTACACGTCCATTCCGCACCAGGAGAATCTAAGGGTTCTCCCCTTCTTCCTGGAGCAAAGACCTGAACCGTCCCCGCCCAACACCTCCCTCCTCCGCTTGGCCGAGCTTGTCCTCGCCCTCAATAACTTCCCTTTTAACTCCTCTCATTTTCTTCAGGTCAGAGGGCTGGCATGGGTACCCGCATGGGCCCCAGATATACCTGTCTCTTCGTGGAGTACGTGGAACATTCCCTGTTCCAGTCCCCATCCACAACTCTTTCTCCAAAATATCGATGATATCATCGATGCTGCTTCCCTCTCTCATCCAGAATTGGAAAAGTTCATCGATTTCGCTTCCAATTTCCACCCTGCCCTCACTTTCACCTAATCTATCTTGACTCGTCCTTTCCCTTCCTTGACATCTGTTTTCATTTCTTGGGATAGACTGGCCAATAATATTCACTATAAACCCACCAACTCCCACAGCTACCTGGACTATACATCCTCACACCCTGCTTCTTGTGAAGACTCCATTCCATTCTCCAGTTCCTCCGTCTCCACCGCATATGTTCCGATGAGTCTAACTTCCACAAGGGAGCCTCCAAAATGTCCACCATCTTCCCCAACCGAGGAATCCCCAGCACCATATCAACAGGACCCTCAACCGGGTCCAACCCATATCCCGCACTTCTGCCCTCACCCCCCCTCCCCCATCCCTCATGCAACAGCGATAGGGTTCCCCTTGTATTTACCTACCATCCCACCAGCATCCACATCCAGAATATATCAACCACCATTTTGGCCACCTCCAGCGAGATGCCACCACCACACACACATTCCCCTCCCTCCCTTGTCCACCTTCCACAGGAACCGTTCCCTCCAGGACACCCTGGTCCACTTTCACTTCACTCCCAACATGTTTCCCCCTCTTTCCACCACCCCTCCACCACCCAACAGTCCCACGGCACCTTCCCCTGCACTCGCTGAAGGTGTAGCACCTGCCCATTTACCTCCTCCCTCCTCACTATCCAAGGGCCCAAACATACCTTCCAGCTGAAGCAGCACTTCCCAGAATCTAGTCTACTGCATTCACTGCTCACAATGTGGTCTCCTCTACACTGGGGAAACGAAGCATAGACTGGGTGACCGCTTCACAGAACATCTACGTTCTGCTCGCAAAAAAGCCCGTGAACTACCTGTTGCCTGCCACTTCAATGCACCACCCTGCTCCCTGGCCAACATCTCTGTCTCCGGCTTGCTGCAGTGTTCCAGTGAAGCCCAACGCAAGCTGGAGGAACAACACCTCATTTTCCACTTGGGGATCCTACAGCCCTCCGGACTCGATATGGATTTCAATAATTTTAAG